GATACAACAAGTCAAATACTGTCGGCGTGCAAGGATGTGCCCTTGCCTGATTCTGGACACCAATGGCGCTGATTGTATGCAGGACACACATATATATATATAATATTCAATTAAGTTCAATCGAGGAGGCGGAGAGGTACGTAGTGCAAGTGACAGCATACCAGTTGGCCGTGCCTGTGCAGGATCATTGTTTCCAACTGCCTGAAGTGAAATTGGATGTGGAAGGCCTTGATTCAGCATGTGTTTGATCTGCATTTGACACTGGGTGTGCTTCATGAGGCAGAAGCGTTGTCAAAAGACAGTCTCGCTACATCCTGCCTTGTGGCCTCTTAGCCAAGCTTGTTGGGCTTTGCGCAGCTCCAGCGCTTTGTGCATGTTTGTTTGCTCTTGAAGATGAGGCTAAGACACGAGTTTTCTGGAGCTCATACTGAGGATATGGTGGCATGTACAATCATTTGGAGCGGGGTGCAGGCCTGCTTTGTATATTCTCACGCATGACGATTAGGTGAATCTGAATTCCGCTCCAGTAACTGCTGGGCTTCGTTCTTTTAATAGGGGCTGTCGTGACAGGTGAGAATGTGCATTGGTTTTATGCAAGGAGCCAAGAAGATGCAGACTGATCGTGATTAGACACTTGTAAACTTGTAGACAAAGTACAGGTGCAGGCGACGTAAAGTCAGTCCAGCTTGAGCGCTGAGGATGAAACCACCCAATGCTGTCTTTGGGTAGCACATCCACAGGACTGCATGGCGGCAAAAGTGTGTGAGTGAAGAAGACAAAAATCTCCACGTTGGTTCCGATTTCTTCCAATCTCCCAAATTGGAGCGCCAGGAAGGAGTGGATGAGATCGTGCGGAATGAGGAGCTTTGCTTCGACTACGGAGAGGCGGGACAAGCTACAGCTCAGTTATTCAACGGATGCAGATGGATGTAGTAATCTTGGAGTAAGCAGCCTTCAATTCTCAGCCTTCTTATTTCCATCATGTTCCATCTACTGTATATATTTTAGTTTCCTATCCATATTGCAACAGCTTGATTGTTTCAGACTATTATTTCATACAATTCAAACGGCCGAACTACGCGGTGTCATGGAGAGGACGATTCCCAGGGTTCACCAGGCCTATTGGGATGCTCCACATCGGCGCTTCCAGCGGCCCAAGGCCAGGGGAAGCTGAGCTGTGTTGAACTGTTGTGCACCTAGTAGCGATGGCCTGCAACCTAGTAGCATGTACATGTAGTATGCTGGATTCATTGCTGGAGAGTGATCCATTTGGAAAACATGGAGATCTCATTTTTTGCTGGTAGTTGTAGTGGGCAGTGTCGATAAGCTGTACGACTGTACACAAGTGGCACCTTTCTCCAAGCACCTCATCTCACGCTTGGAAAACCCATGATTATGGCTCATGCAGCTGACCTTGAGATATTTCCGATTATTTCCTCGTAGCCCGAGGCACGCGTGGCTGAGGCAGGAGCGTAGGCCAGAGATGTTCTAGGACCATAAGAGATAAAAGGCCAGCAAATCCAACTTGTGCAAGTTTCAAGGAAGAACCAGCTCTGCTTGTGCACAACAAATGCATTTCCCATCGTTCTCTTCTGATTGCAGCTCGCCTCTTGTACAAAGCGAAGACTCTTCCCTGGCCTGCTGCTCTTGAATCTTGAAGAAAAAGGGTGCAATGCTGAAAAGCCAGATGCGTGTGTGGGGACAGAACTGGATGATAAACACAATTCAAACGCGGCGGTGTCGTTCCTTGAATCAAACATCCGTCAGTTCTAGAAGCTCCGTCACTTTCTTGGTTATGGAGTTTGTTCGTCACGTGGCGGGGGCCACATGCTGAGCCGTAAGCGCTGTAAGCGCAGCCACTTTACTTCCTCCAGCTGGCTGCGGGGGCCATGATATAACTGCTGATGGGCCTGGACAAAGGGACACCCCACCTGTGCACCCTTACAAAGTCTTACAAGTCACACTGCATGGATGGATACCTGAAAGGTAGAAACCTGCCACGAAACGTTGGAGTGGAGACCTTTCGCAAGGTGCATCCCACATCACAAGCGGCTTGTCACCTTCCGAAACCTTCTCAACACAGTTCTTTTTGCCGCAAATGCTGGCCATTGGATGGTATACGCATACGCCTGTGCCCCAGAACTGCCAGCTCCTTCAGATTTGAGCAGTTTGTCGATTTGAAGCGGGTGAGACTAGCTCAAATGTCCTCCCACAGCTGCAGGCCCCTGCCAGATGTGACGCAAGAGGCCACACAGATTTATGACCGTTGACGTCCAACAATGCATCAGTTGCATTTGATTGTGCAAGTCGCCTAACCACATTACAGTGGAGTGCAAAAGAAGGTTCTTGCATAGTACATCTTGTGTGTATATGTGTGTGTATCTAATTGTTTGTTTACCATTGTATGCAACACATATCATCAACATCCAGCAAGACAGACGCAGGGGCTTCTTGCACCAACGGGCAGCTTCTTTTTGACCGGTCCATGTGGGGATCCAGGCTCGTGCTGCAGTGCCCACTGAGCTCTCCAGGCGTCTTTGCAGTGTCTTCGATGCAGGTGCCCACAGAAACATCAGGAACTCAATTGAAATCATGAAATGTGAAACAGGAAACAGCGTGTCTGGCATTTTTTAAGTTGAACACTGTCTACGTGAATCATGGGCAGTCTTGCACCATAGTTGGTGTAACATGGTGTAACAGGCGACTACTGTGACGTGCACTTCAATGTTGGGACAGGGTGCGGATCTCAAGAATCCGTCAATTCCGCCCAAAGTGCAAAGTGCAACTCTTCCTGCGAAAATCTCATGATGTCCTGCAAAAATGCGCAAAATGGACACGGACTTTTTGATCCAAGGCCAGCCTCCACAAGCATTGGTGCTCATCGCATTGCATGCAGACTCAGCGAGATAGGCAACAAGTCTTTTCTTGGTGACTGTTTATGTACATACACCGGAACGGTTCAATCTTTTGACGTCGTTTGTCCTTGTAAGGTCTTGCGGAGAAATCCGGCATTAGGCATGGAAGAGAAGGCCGCTCGAGTGTGCCTCTCAAAGGAGTTCAATGTTGTTGGCATCCCACTGAACTGGAGTCAGCAGCAATTGGCATGACAGTTTGGTCGTGCTCTTGCCAAGACCTGCATCTCGTTGCCAGAGTTGTCTCCAGATGTGGTGAGGCAGGGAGGTTTGGGGAAACAAGAGGCTCGCATTACAATCAGAGGCAGCCAAGAAGTTCTAACGCTTGTTTGGGCATGGTTCTGATCAACCCAGCTGATTGAGAGGAGCTGGCCAAACAGTCCAAAGTCCAATGTCATTTGGACGTCGATGTCGTTCAAATTTCAAATTGACTTGTTTGGAACAAGTGCAGCTGTATACCCGATATGGTCCAGGCATCCCTTTCTTCGGTGGAAAAGGGGTGTACATACGTTTTTGCGACATGACTACTGTTGCAGTTTCCCTGCAAATTTAAGCTGGCCTGCGAAGTGAGGCAAATTCTGCGAGCACACTATTTGGAGGCAGGCAGAAAGAGCTGGTAGGCTGATAGCCGAAGAAGGCCTAAACCTATAGCGGTTCCTAAGTTCGAGCAACGTCTCGCTGTCAGTGATGGGAATGGTTTTTGAACGACAGATGATAGAGCTGCCCCGCTCTACAATCGTTAGAATCAGGATACTACGGGTACCAGTTGGACATAGATGGAGTGATTCTCCAAAGATGTCATGATATGTCATGTATCTCAAAGCGTTGGTATTTGCAGACGGATGGAGAAGAAGCTTGCTGCAGTGGTCCTTCGGGAGCTTTGCTGCAGGCAACGAACTGAAGCTTTTGTTCCAATGAAGGTCTTTCGACTCACGTCGATTCAATTGGTAGATTATTTGCTTGCACTATGTAGAGTCTGGTCTAAGCCAAACTAAGTTGCTGTGATGGCTGCGGGTTTGGACGAACTTTGTCAAATTGTAAGGTGCAAAAGCACACTCCCAATGATGACCTGGAAAAGCTAGAGGCCGCTAGTCAAGCAACATGTTCAAGCAGTGAATGACAGTCAAGCGGAGTCCAAAACAAGGCAGTAGGGAGGCCTCATGAGGGCTGGTGTCACAGGTTCCGGGCCTCATGGGTGCGGAATGCCGGTGTAACAGTGTAACATGATGTACTGTAACATAGCTATCGAATGCAACATAATTTAACATAATGCAACCCTGCGTGCATGCCTCAGAATCGTGAACCGCATGAACACTTGTAGGTGGCATACAGTGTGTTTGCACAAATTTCTCACGTCACTGTGCACTGAGCCAAGCCACTTTTGACGCCTGAAGACGTTGAAGGCCACTTTTGGCGCCTTGGACGCCAGCGGCTGGGCACCTCTCAAGGAAGCTCTAGAGTTTGTTTTATGTCGTTTGTGTGTGTGTGCCGTTTGTTTGTTTTTTTAGCGTTTTTGACATAGCACATGAGCACACGACTCTCAGGCCGCTGTGAACACCTTGCACTTTGCGGATGTCTCCTTGGACCTTGGTGCTCTCAAGGTCCAGGAGACGCATTTCCTCGATTTGGAACAAGTCAGCAGAGAGCTAACAGCGCTGGGGCTCAATTTTTCAGGTTTCAACGCCCAAGGGCGCCTTTTTGCTTGGATCTTGAAAACTTGTATATATATATATACTGTCTATAAACAATATATTATATACACATATTGTAAAGAAGATTAACGGGTTGCATGCAACTATATAAGTATCAATTGCAGCACTTGCGGCTGTGTTATGCTCAAGCCGCGGCCTTTTAGCTGCGGGCAGAGTGAGAGGTTTAGCCAGCAAAGTGTTCACGAACAAAAGCTAAATCAAGTCATTTCTGGGGAAGATCAGTTATTGGCACTCCATGTGACTAGGCTTGCTTCTTACTCAAGAGTGCATTGAGGCACCAATGGGTAAAGCATCGTGGGGCTGCAGTGCGAAATTTGTAAAGAGGAACTGTACTTCTCAGAGTTCTCCACAGGATTGATTAAAAGGTCAAAAGTAAGCAGTCCGATATCCGTCAGCTGGTACGGACTTTCATGGCTCAATGCTGGAGACGCTCTTGGCGAGATACTTGCAAAAGTTCTTGAAGGCCAACGGGCCAAGAGAAAACAATTTGAATCAATCGCTCCCCAAACACGCATGCTGCGCATGAATTGCGTCAGGATGTGTATTCTATTGTTGAAGCTCTCGAAGCAATGTTGGGATGTGGTCACCAGTTACCAAATATATAAACAGCTCCCAACCAAGCAAAAGGAAGGAACCAAACCACATGGTCCAAAACTTAAGGTTCCCCTAAACCTAAACATGTGGGAACCAAATCAATCATGCGATGGGTCCTTTGAGTTTGTTTGCATCCTGGCGCGTAGTACCTTTTTCCAGTCTTACTCGCTTACCTCCACTCCGGCGCTACGAGTTAGAGACAGTGACACTCAAAAAGCCACCTTACGACGTGAGCTTGTTGATCTCTATATCAACCGAATCCAAATTATATTTGAAGCGTGCACTTCAACATCGCCTCGCCAGGGCTTCACTCCGGAGCACATTTCAGCTCACCTTTTGAAGGGCTCCGTGAAGCTCAAGGAGCGCATGAGCCCAGAAGGGTTCTGCCGCTCTGCCAAACAGAAACACATTGCAAATGGCTCTTGATTGTAACAGAACAAGGGAAACAGAAAGACAATGCCTCCCTACTTGGTTCCAGCCCTGAGAGACAGAGAGAGAGAGGGAGAGAAAAGAAAAAAGAAAACAGAGGGGGAGGGAACCTGGAGCAGTTAAGAGAACGATCTTGTTCCCGGTCTTGTGGACCAATCTCACATTGGCATCAAACGATCTGAAATTAGAGGTTTCCTCTGCTTCGCGAGACAAAGTAGAAATCTTAGACCGTGAGATTTGTTACAATGGTCGGGGGGCAAAACCAGACTTAAGCTGCAAGATTGAATGTCTAGTGAATCTGTTGAAAATGTATATAGAGATCCTTCAGAGTCTTTGTGAGACTTTGCAGACCTCTATAGATGAGTCCTGCCACAGGAGGTGGAACTGGACCTTATTGCGGTGCATGAACTGCTGGTGGATGTCTTGCCTTGCGCACTGGAACTGCAAAAAGTGAGGCGCAGTAGTACTCTTTAGTGATCAATGTGCTCCAAATCCATTGAATACTCGTTTGTTGACAGCTAGGCAGCTAGGTCATGCCATGTCAGATCTGTTTTGGCCAGTGCATGGCCTTCTCCGCAGGTGCAGCTTCATTTCTTTGAAAGTGCCGTGGAAACGACTGCGACGTCAGCCGGTGCTTCTGGAGCCATTGCCAAAGCTTTTCAAGAACACATTCAATTTGAACTTTTTGTGTGCAAAAGACATATGCAGCAAGCATAATTGCTTCGTGCACCATCAAGATCCATTAAGTGTTGACAATGCTGCACACCACGACCAGCACAGAGTTTGGAGCAACACACACCCCTTTTTTCAAGGGCTGTAAGTTGTGACTTGGAACCAAATCAGGAAAGTAATACACCCCACTGTTTAATGGTTCTTTCAATGTTGTTTTGGTACCGTTGGCTTCAGAGAAGCTTGCAAGAACAGACCATAGAGTAGCTGAGTAGCAGCTCACCACAAATGATGAGGCAGACATGTTTGTTTCCACGACCACCCTGCAAGGAGCTGTCTGGTCTCGAGGTGAAATTGAAGGTTCATTCTGAGGACAGCGATTGGCTGGCTGCGCAGGAGGGATCTTCAGATGTTTTCATGAAGGTTGGTCAAACGAAATGATTGTTGTGAGCCATTGCAACAACAGCATGCCATCCTTGTTTGTATGGGACTAGCCCCGACCAATTCATGGGCATCGAGCTATGCCGAGGAAAAGTTGCACCCAGAGAAGACATCCAAGGGAGAAGACCTGAGCATTGACGAGGTACGCTGAACCGCTGAAGACACACACTAGTGATCTTGGTGCAGGGATCTTTGTTGAGTTGGATAAGGATTTGCATGGTTTTAGGTGCTACGGTGCTGGTGCTGTACTTTCAGAATCTTTCAGATACTTGCAGGCTGCAGATTCTGATGATCGGAAGGAAGAGAAGGAAGAGAAGGAAGATGCCTCACTCCTAAAGGTGGGACTCAAAGAGGCGCGAGTGGCCTCACTTGCCCGAGCGAGGAAGGCTTCCCGTGGACCACCTCCCCTGCCCTAATGCGGGCAACACACTCATCGCTTCGGAGTCTGAAAAAGCATGAAAAAGCGGGACCAGGTGATCACGGATGGGCTGCAAGTAGTGCTGAAGAGTTTGCAAGTGGATTTGTGGTCATCCCGACAAGCAGCTTGGCTCCACAAGGTCCTCCGCCCTTGCTTGAAGCATGGCACTGCTTCAAGTGACAGGCTTTCGCGCAAAAATGAATGTTTTGATAGCGAGTTTCAGCGGCACAGGAGGGTGTCCATTTGGAGGATTGAATCTTCAACGCTTGTTTGACTTCTTTTGAGAGCTTGAAAGGATGTCGTCTAGAACACCAAGGGCAAAGTGATTGATTCAGCAGTTGGTGTTTTTCGTATGACTCATGACAGACCATAATTCCGTATGATTCATATTCGATTCACAATGGCTGATTAGATTACCGATCGCTGGCAATCCTGATGTATGGCTTGAAGATCGGGGCGCCCGATTCTTGCCAAGGTATCTCCACTCGAGCTCAGGGTTGAGGCTGGTCACACTGATGTGCGATTGGACAAGGTCTAACAATTTGTAGCGGCAGCAGCACCTTTGTATGTGTCTATGAAAGCTGCGATGTTCAATGTTCATTCTGGGAAGTTCCCTGCCGTTGTGCTGTTTGCTCAGGCACTTGAATCATTCCCATGTAGTGTCAGAGGCGAGAAGATTAGCAAGCCTCAGGCGCGGTTCAGCTTACGGAAATGGAGCGAAACACCAAATCAACATACATATATATATATATATATTTTTGCTGTTTGGGGCTGTTTGCACATTGCTTGCATGCTGTTGCGTTTGTTACATAGTCTTGGTCTCAAGGATGTCTATGAATTCTGTGACCCATGTGCACGGCTTTTCCGCTTGGCAACGCTCTCAGCCTAGCGTTCCAAGATTATGTCCGATCAGTCAGATCCTTAATTGATTAATTCGACATTATATATACAGTATATATAGTATATATATATATATATATATACGGGGTTGCTTGTAATTGGCGAGTTTCTACTCCAACCTCCCCATACATTACGTAGCAATTAATACATTGCTATGCTGGGAAAGCCTTTGTTTTTTTTCTGCATGAATTGAGCTTGCAGCTTTCTTTGCCGTGGATAGTCTTCAGGTCCAGATTGATGGACTGCGGCTTGCGACAAACCAGAAACCAGGCCACATGTGAGAAGTCGAGCGCACCTGTTTTGACTGTTCTGTGCTGGGCTGCTACTGTACGCCTTCCTCCTTCATTTTTGTTTGAAGTCAAAGAACATGAACAAAAAGCCGATGTCATGCTTGTATGTGCTTTTGCCCGAGGTGCCATGGTGGAGGTGATAGGACCAGTGAGCGTACAAATCGAACAGAGGCTGGCTTCGAATACCTTTTCTGTGGATGTTGAAGCTACTTTGACACAGGCGCTATTAGGTTGGACGCCATCGCTTCTAAGTTGGAGGTCATCGCTATTAGGTTGGAGGTCATCGCTTCTAGGTTTGACACAGGCGCTGGTGTGGCTTTATTCCGCAACATCGATCCCGCCGGGTTTGTCCCTTTAGTAGCAGCTTGGTCAAAGACAGAGACGGTCTGTCTCTTTGGCACAGTTGATGGTTGTTATATGTGGTGATACCCTTTTGGGGGTCCCCGGCCTGAGAGCGTGTGAATGTGGAGCATTGATTCATGGTTTGTGGGAGTGGGAAAGAAGCCAAGAAAGAAACAAGGTGGGCAGATTGTGGTAGATTCACCCTCTCTTTCACGTTTGCAAAAATTCGAGGTGAAACTGCCATCACCATCCGTTTGGCCTCAGTGGCACTTCAACTTCCTGTAGCACCAGTGATGGCTGTTTGTGAGGTGCCACTGAGATTTGGGGCTGTTGATGGAGGTAGACTCGCTAGACATGCCTTTGTCAAATTCAGCCAGGTTCTGTTGGACTTGATCAAGGGTGGATTGCCATTCTCACAGTCTGAGCTACCTCCAGACTCTGACCAGGCCTGCGGGAGTAACACTTGTTGGAGCCATGTATCGCCCACAACAGAGGATGGGCATCAGCCTCAATCAGTGGTTCCCTGATGTAGACAAGATCACCAACACTGGAGTTCCGTGGCGGTTGCGTAAGCTGCAAAAGTAGCATCATGATGCCCCACTACGTAGTTCCAACTTCCAACTGTCAACAGCCTGAAGAATAAGAATAATGAATATTAATGAAGAGTACAGGTGCGGTGTTACGGGGAAATTTCGGTTTGAAGGGACAACCCATAGTTTCATGATCGTGTTATCAAGGAAAGACCTCATTCCCTATAGGCCGCTGGAGCTGTCAGCTGGTCGGAGCTACGGCCAGGGCGCGCTGGGGCTACAGGTGGGCAGCCATCGCGAAACAGGGCGAAATGGAAAAGATCTGATCAAGAGGTGACTTTGGAGCAAGCTTGGAAGCCATTGCTATTAGGTTGGAGGAGTGGTTTGAGGCCATCGCTATTAGGTTGGAGGTGACTTTGAAGCAAGTTGTTGCACATTTGTTTGACCAGATCGATGATTGAACCTTACAATCCTTAAAGCCCCCAAGTATACTACACTGGTTGGTGGTGATTGGCACCCTGAAGCTGAAGAGGTCTACACTGGCGCGAGCAGCTGCTAAATCGAAAGAATGTCACCTTGCTGACCTTGTCCCTGACTCTGGAACAGTGTGGGGCCTTCACCTCAGACAGAGAAGGACGCTACTAGGGGCTCCTGGCCTTACTACTAGGAGCAAGGACGTAGCATGGATGCAGCACGGGTTTGGATTTGAGGATGCTTGTTGCAGGGGAGGTCAAGCTGCCCCACTCAGGCCACTATTTGCATGGACACAAAAGCAGCACAGCTGGAGGCCATAAACAAGCAACGAGAGAATACTTGTCATTATGATTTACCCTAATTACGACTATACAAGACATGAAGGGGATTGAAGGGGACTGTGCAAGCTCATGCAATGGGTATTGCTTCGTGGAAGGCACATGACTTCATGTTCACCCTGGACCTCATCTCCTCACTGGACACATCCAGGTTGGAGACTCGGATGAGGGGGTTTGCGTGCTGCTCCTCATTCACTTACGTGCTGGTAAATTCAAAGGCCTTTGGCGTTTCATCATGTTTTGTGTTCGTGGTGAGAGCTGTCAGTAGTTCGTAGCGGTTCTAGCTACACCATGTGATACAATGGATTCAAGATTTGAAGAGTGCCCCACAATTTCCCAGCCGCGAGGTGGCGATGTCTCTATGAGCTTGGCCTTTGCGAGAAAAGCACCGAAGGACTTAGAGTAGGGTGCTCTGGTTTAAGTACAAGAATCTACAAGATCATTTGAACACCGCAGGGAAGTTGGAGGGAACCAGAGAACCCTGCAGCTATAGCCAACTAACGCACCAAATGCCATCGGAATTGAACAGGCAAGGGAACGCTATAGAAAGCCCATGCTGTCCAGGAGTGAAGATGCAATGTTTACAGCGGATCTTTGGAATCTACTTGGGCTTGGCAAGGTTGATGTGGAGCACCTTAGGTCCGGACCCCAAAAATGGACGCCCACAACCAGCAGAGTTGATTTGAGTAGACATGCTACCATGGCTTGGAAGTGTGTTTGATAGACGATTGACCTAAGTCCTTACATACGGTTCCCTATTGGTTCAGTGTAATCATGAGTTGCTGCACTCGATTAATCATTAATCCCCTGTCCTCCTCCAAGAGCCAACGCCAACCTGAGGTTCAGAAGAAGTTCCAAAGACGTTGCTCTCCTTGGGCCTTTCACATAGGCCCAGCGTGTCCGTTCGCTGGAAGGAGAGGAATTCCTTTTCTGTATTCTTCCCTTTTCTTCTTTTGTAGACCTTTGTGCCATGTTGCACCTTTCTCTTCCTTTTTTGCTTCCTGTCTCTTCGATGCTGACACCTTGGAAGCAAGACCCTGATTTCGGGTACTTTGGAAACTGGCTCATTGGCGGGCCCATGACCAATCCACATGGAATGCAGTGGTTTGCACGAGGACGTTCCTGCGGTCCACAGCACTTGGGAGAGCTTCCAGCCAATCGAAGGCCTGACATCTACAAAGTCCTGCAAGGGGCAGTCTGTTTGTTTCCACAAATTGTATACGCTTTGTCAGGAACCCTTCGTTTTGTGGCCACTGACCATGTCCCAGAGCTTTCCTGTAAGTAGACAAGTTTCACTGGAGATCTTGCAGGCTGCCTACATTCAGTGAAGGTCCTCGTGGACGTGTCAGCATTTCAGAGCTTGGTGGAGACGGCCTGGCTCCAAATTCTCAATCTTGTTGTACAAGTTATATAACAAATACATCAGCGGTCTAGCCAAGCTGCCAAGCTCCTTACGGACAGGTGAAGAAGATTGTAATGCCCTTTACGGAACTCATCGAGCCTCCACCCTTTGCATGTTCTTGGTGCCGAATCCGCTTGCACGATCTCACTGTGGAAGTTCCAAAGCAGGCACTCACCAGAAATGGGGTTACTCTCGATTGAAAATCGGGGTGATGGCATGCCATGGCCACTTCAGAAGGGCAAGATCATGATGAAGATGCAAAAATATGTAAACAACCTAATTACACTTCTTTCTGCTTGGATGGGACAGCAATGCCCAGTATATACTTGCTTGAAGTTTGCATCAAATTTTGAGAAGAACTGGAGAAACAAGAGAACAAGCTAGGCAAGCTGCTGTAAAAAAAAATCTATGTGGCTCGAACGATGCAACGAAGCTTCCCGAGGCATCCCAAGAGTGTGGACATGTGCAGCTCCACGACCACCGTACGCCCAGGAAACAAGGTTTCCAAAATGATGCTTCAAATATTTGGGTTGCGGGGTTCCACACCTCTTGGTCCCCACACCTTGTGTTTACTGACAGGCTTCGCCCACCGGCGACGCCCTTGGGGGGACTGCGCGTATCCGGAGGCCCCTTGCACAGCAAAATGCGACGGTTAGCACAGCTTCTTACGCCTGCACACTCCCACACAGGGAAAGACAGGCAACCTCAGCTTCAGACACACGTATGCACATGCACCCACACGCACACGAACAAACACGCACTCGTGCACACACGCACACGCACACGAACGCACACGCACTCGCGCACATGCACTCGCGCACACGCTTGCACGGCTTCTTCAAATATCAGTGCTTTGTAGTGGAAAGCGCTGAACAAGTTGTATTTTTGAATAATTATTATTGAGCACCTTCTGCCTTATTGAGCACCTTTCTTCAGCATTTTCCACTACAAAGTCCTGATATTGGAAGAAGCCATATAAGCTGAGGTGGTGCTAGAAATGTCTTTGAACATCACCGGGACGTATGCATGTTCTTCAATAAACGTCAAGAACACAGGGAAAGTGATAAACAAATGGTTACTGTAAAGCTTTATCTCTAGAGAAGAAAGTATGCTAAGAGGAGAGGAAGTTTTGAGGTAGCAGTTGTGTGGCATCACCAGAATACGAGCAGCGTTGCTCATAAACTACTTACATGTTGCAAAAACACTGTAATTTACAATGTTTTCTGCCTAGCCGTGCACCAATTTGCATCTTTCCTGCTGAGACTCTGCTGATGCTAATGATGCTCGGCCCAAATTTCTCCTCAAAGCTTGTATCATCTTGTATCCATGTTCAATGCTTTAATTTCTAAGAAGTTTGGAAATAAGTTGCCATTTTGATCACTTTCCCTGTGTTTTTGATGTATCCCCATAGCAAGCTATGTTTGATATGGTCGCCGGGACGGCGTCGCCGGACAGAATGCGCTACCTCCCTGATGCCGCCGGATCTGCTAGAATCACCTTAAAGTCTAATTCTTTTGTTGGCAGCTTCGAAGCCCAGTAAGACTATATAGGTGGGCAAATGGCGCGACCAGAGGCGTGGAAGGCGCCCCTCGAAGCCTTTAGCCCATGTCGTTTTGTGCGCAAATGCAGCTGGGACGGAGGGTTTGCAGGGACAAGACGGCCGTGCCACACACCAGTTTGGCGGCTTGCAAGTTCACGACCAGAGGCATGGCAGGCCCACGACCTTCCCCCATCTATTTCTGCACACGGGGAGGGCCCGAGACAGCAGCTTCGAAGCCCTGTAAACCCAGGTTTGGCAGGGCCACGGCCAGAGGCCTGAATAGGGTCCATCGCCAAGCAAGTGCGCGCCCAAGGTAAGGTTCCACCCTGCAGTGTTCCAGGCGCCGCCCCCGTCAGATTTGGCTAAGCCGGGGTCGGCAGATTAGTCATGTGTTGGCATTATATCTGTCAGGCTGGCATGCAGGTGCCTGTGAAGGTCCGGATGCCTTCATTGCTGTTCACTTCCATGGAGGGCCTTGGTGAGCTTTTCACATCCCTGGAATCTCTACCATCCAGGCGACGCATGGCCGAAAAAACGCGATGTTCCACAGCATCAACATTTATCAACATCCGCTTTCATCGGGCTACCAAAGATATCGCTCAAAGTATTGATGAAAAGTGGGTATCACACCAAATAACTTACACTCATTTCATTGTCTCGTCGAGTTGCCGTTGTCGTCATTGAACAAAAGTGTAATTGTAGGTCACATGATTCATGTGCCTTACGTGCACGTAATCTTGCGATAGTAAAGCCTTTTGACAACCAGCAAAGTGTGCCCCGCCACACGTGTGAAAGCCACAGTGTTGAAATTTGTTGTTGCGTGGGCAAGGCACGCTTGGCAATCTTCGCAGACTCCGAACTGCCCCGCAGGAGAAATATGTTTTGTTATGTTTTGTTCCCTGTAAGCCAAGACCTCTTTGGATGCCCACGTATTTTTCCAGATTTGTTTGTGGTTACTGTATATGTACTTATTACAATATATATATATATATATACGTTATATATACAGTGTATTCTTTTTCCTGAGTCGCAAGTCCTGATCAGGGGAGGACCGGGAAGAGGATGACCCTATGACACTTGCCAAGCATCGATCAGTCAATCAAAAACTATGTAAGCGCTTTACACATTGTTTTGTTCAGTTGTTTGGTGTTGAATGGTGTTGCATGTCGTCACCAGTTACTGTATATAAAGGGCTCCGCCCCCTGCCGCCGACCCGTTTCGTCCATTCGACGCGAAACCCTTCCAGCGCGGAATCGGCGTTGGTCGGGCGCTCTTGCTGCGACATCTGCGCGGCGAAAGGATAGATTGGACCGCGCTGTTGAACAAATACTGCGAAGAGCGGCAGTGCTGCGTTTGCCAGCAACGCAAACAAAAAGGGGCCTTTACGGTAGGGCAATGGAAACGCGATGAGGCGGACCGAGTTTGTCGTGAGTGCGGCCGACACTATGCGGAAGCCGGCGCGCCATGGCAGTGCCATATCTGCAAAGTCTGGCACGCCGAAGTCAATTTTCCGCAGAAGTATCACCGACCGCAGCGCACCTTTTATCGCGTCTGCCTGACGTGCGAAGAGCGGAAGCCATGTGTTCGGTGCGCTGAGCGCAAACCCGAAGCGGACTTTGGCGCAGCCGCCTGGAAAACGCGCCACACGGATCGACGCATTTGTCGCCAATGTGCGCAAAAGGAGCGTGGTTGGTGGCAATGTGGCACCTGTGGTGTGCGAAAGGCACGCGGAGAGTTTAGTGCGTGGCGCCAACACCACCGCTGGAAAGATAATAGGGCGCAGATGTGTAATGGGTGCACGGCGCTACAATTTGTGCGCCGCTTCGCCGCCCGAACCAATCAGAGATTGGCCCGTCTTCGTGCCCGCGCAGGACAAGAGCAGTTGCGACGTTTGTTGGAGCCCCGGCATGGCATGGACACGGATGTCGTTGAGCGGCGTGTACCGTGTCCAGCCCCGCATCGACCAAGTGCCACAAGGACAGTGGCCGAGGAAAGGAGACTGCAGGTCATAGCTTGCGTCCGGGAAGAGATCGCGGCCCGCGTGGCACAGAAGCAAGACGAGGTGGAGGTGCCCGCTCCCTGGGCGCAGGAGCCACAGCGGACAGAAAGCCAGATGGCCCAATGCAAGACGGAACCTGAGGCAGGACGTCCGACAACAGACGTCACGCCGTCGCGCAAAGGGCGCATGACAAACGCAGCGCCGGCAGAGTTGCCTGGACGGAAGGCCGCCGAGGAAATGTTCCAATATGTGTGTCCGTTTTGTGAGGCGTCTGTGAGCAGTAGCGTGCGCACAGGCCAAGTACATCACCGCCGTGCGTGCGGGCACCGTTTTCGTGTCAAAGACGGAGGCGTTGTCGCCAGGAAATGCGTCTATGTGTGTCCGTTTTGCGAAGGGCACGTCGCGAGCAAAGTGAAAACAGGGCGAATAGATCGCCGACACGTTTGCGGCAACCAGTTTTGGGTCAAAGAAGGCTCTGTGAGCGCAGAGACACGCCAGCATCCGGACAGGTGCCCCGCATGCCACAGTGTGGTGTGGTCGTCGCTGCTCTTTGAGCGCGTTCAGGCCACACACACAACACCGTCAGATAAACAATGCCCGACAAACAGCTGGCGAGTTCCAGAGAGCAAGCGCGACAGGACGAAATAGAAGGGTTTAGACCCTGGCAAACGGCGCTTTCGAAACCCCTAAGAGTGACCCTGGCCAACGGCCCTGCCGGCTGCCGAGGAGGGTTTGAGACCGGAC